TTTTGTTCAGTGGTGTAAGTTCTGGAGAATCTCGATGGAGCGTGGTGGAGAATCTTTTGGGTCCTTTCATTGCACATCTAATTCTTGATTTTCTTCCCAGCTCTTTGTATTCCACGTGGTCAGCAGAGCACATCCTGTCCACTTCGTACAGTGTGCCACAGTGGGCAGCTTTCAAGCCCACTGGCAAGAAACCATCTACAACATGTTTACCTTCTTCTGCCTCTTCTTGCTGCCGCTGTTGATCATGGTCTACTGCTACTCCAGAATCCTGATCGAAATTTCCCAGAAAATGAAGAAGTCTTGTGGTGAGTGACATTTGTATGAATTCTTAAACCGTATGAATGCCTAAAGGAGGCTTTATAGCTTTATAAAAGACCGCTTATCCCAGACGCAGAATAGATAAGACAGTTTATCCCTGATGCAGAATAGATAAAAGGCAGCTTATCCCACTAAAGCCATCCTCCTTTTTGTCTAACTGGGCCCAAGAGCTCAAAAGACACCATTATGTTCCGAACTTGGAATGGTGACAAATAGTGATGTCCCGAACTGTTCGCCCAACGGCTCGCCGCGGACTCATCATTGAGTAAACTTTGACCCTGTACCTCACAGTCAGCGGACACATTCCAGCCAATCAGCAGCAGACCCTCCCACCTCCTGGACAGCTCACTAAGAATGCAGCTTCACAATGGATGCTGTCCAGGAGGTGGGAGGGAGGGTCTGCTGCTGATTGGCTGGAATGTGTCTGCTGACTGTGAGGTACATGGTCAAAGTTTACTCAATGATGAGTCCGCGGCGAACCGTTTGGACATTTTATTTATATTGTGCCAACAGATGTAATCGGCACTGTACAAGTACATGGAGGGAACAGAAGCATATACATCAGAGGTCCCTTCCTCTTACAAACCAGATGTTAATATTTTCACACGGATATTTGGAGAGATTTCAAGCATATTGCAGTTATTCTACAGCCAGTTTGAGTTAAAAATCTCTTCACATGCAGATTAAATATATGTCCCTCCTTAGTCTCTTCCAGGGAATTTCACCTCCGCCGCTCCTCTAATAACATACCTCGGGCACGAATGAGGACGTTGAAGATGTCTTTGGTTATCGTTTTGACTTTCATTGTATGTTGGACTCCTTACTACCTCCTCGGGATCTGGTATTGGTTTTCTCCGGAGATGTTAACTCGGGAGAAAGTTCCTCCATCCCTCAGTCACATTCTATTCCTCTTTGGCCTCTTTAATGCTTGCCTAGACCCCATTATCTATGGCCTTTTCACCATCCACTTCCGTCGAGAAATCAGGCGGGTTTGTCGATGTACCACTCAGGGAAAGGACAACGACACTGCTTCTTTAGGAACAGGATCTTTCAGGATATCAACCACAGCTGTTCCAGTGAAGCGGAATACCGGAAAGATGGGAGACTCTGGAAAATTTGAATTGGAGGTCACTGGATTCAGTAGGAAATGTGAAAAGTGTCGCAGAAAAACGAGAGAAAGTTTTATGTGATGCTCATAGCAAAGGTTATTTTGAACAAAGATGAACTTGATGCTGCTCTGATGATTTACACGTCATATCGTGCATTCCACTGCCAGATGTAGATCTTCCCCCCCAAAAAATAAAACAAATACAAAATAGCTAATAAACTAGGGACAATTTATCGGTTCTTCTGATAAGAAGACATATTGCACAGAATATTTCTGGATCAATTCAATGATAATTTTATCACCTGATGGAAAATAGTCCCATCTGCCTTAGTTCTCTTTCAAACTGTAAAGGATGTGTAACAATGTCATTAAAATGCACACGTGAAATGTGTTGAGTGTTTATTCATTTTAAAATTTCTCTCATGACTAAAGCCTGCATATCTGCACCAGCCTGAAAGTTTAAGTCCAACAGGTTAATTTTTACTACAAAATACTTTAAAAAAAATACCATCACACATATGGTATTACCTGAAAAGAAGACCAGCCATTTACGTTTACTTGACTGTAGCAGGGACGGACCCTTAAATTAATACACTGCGGCTGTAGGAGAGAATGGTCAGTAACATGTAACGGTCTATGGATCTAGAACAGGCTAATGACAAATAGGGTCATGTTAGCTGTAGAAGGGTTTTCAAAGTTCTTACAGGGCCAATATGTTTAGAACGTTCCGACCTTTGTTTCCAAGTGTTAATAGAGGACTACAGGTTACTGGCTGGTTGATTATCAAACGGGAGTTAACTTTTCAAATTTAATCAAATATAGCTGACCTATTAAGACTCCACACTTCATACACTAATGGATGTGTACTCTGTATTGCATACACCATTCATAAACAAATTAACGTAAGAATCAGAACGTGACTCAAGATGTTTGAAAGAGCCCTGTTCAAATCACCCTATATTTTACATATAAAAAGCATATAAACCCCCCCCCCCAATTCTCAATACAATTCTCCTACTGTAATGTGTTCCGTTGTCAAGTTATTGTTGTGTAAACGTAGGTTTTACATGATCTCAAAAGTCTTCTGTCTACAGCATGGGTAGTCAACCTGGTCCCTACTGCCCACTAGTGGGTGGTTTGGGATTCCAGGTGGGCGGTGGTGGATTCTGCAGAAAATGTTCGCCATGGACAAAGGCCGGCAGGGGAGATCTTTTCATCTCCCCTGCTGGCCCTGCAGAGACAGCCTTGCTGGTGAGGAAAAATCTCCCTCTCTCGGTCTGGTGAGGAAATCAAAGAACTCCTTAACTGGGCTGCTGGCACTTAGTTCCAGCAAAGGGAGGAAAGGGCCTGGGAGGCTCTGTGATCTTCCCATGAGCAGTTTGGACGGAGCGCTGCCGCGCGTTACCATGTCAACGCTCCAATTCAGTGCTGTGCTTGTAGGAGGACAGGAGAGTCAGCCTGCAGTCGAAGGAGCTGCAGACTAATGTGAAAATGCCACCACTGAACCACCAGGGCTTGCAGCGTTATGTCTCCTGCCCCCCCTCTGGTTAAAGCTAAGAAAAAGGGAGAGGGAGACATTAAGATAGATTTTCACATCTCTCCCACCTACATACAGCATAGACCCTGTGCACACTACACCCCTCACACACACAGACTGCTCCCTCACACAACTACAGCACCGTTAAAACTCACACTGCACCTCTCACACACACATACATAGAAAAACAAGAGAATAGAAAAGAGAAAAATAAAATAGATAAATTTAAGTACATGTTTTTTGTTTTCTTTTAAAAACCCTCCTTTCCATATAAAAAAAAAAGGAAGAAAAAACTAAAATCGCACTTGCGCTATAAAATTAGTTACTTTGGCACTGGTGGGCGGTAAGGAAATGTCACCATCAACAAAGATTCAAAAGTGGGCGGTAGGTATAAAATGATTGATTACCCCTGGTCTACACACAGTAGGAATATTGTAATTGGCTCTCAGTGATTAAAACACCCATTCTATCTTAGAATTCTCAACAAGTAAATGCTGAGTTTCTTGAACGATCATAAGTATATTATATACTTAATTAAGTACTTGGGATAGAACGTCTTCTGCTTAGAACAATCCAAGCATGCACAGATTTCACATTTTTAAAACTTACATTTAAAATTTAGACATGGTGCATATCATATTTTAAAATATTTAGATTCTAGAAACTATTTTGAAAAATATTAACATACTATGTTTCGTGTATCTATGTGATGTTTAAATGTAAAGATACAAGTACTGCACAATTACATCAAAATGCATAAGTCTGACAACAGTGCCACCTCCTGGCTAGTTAATATGTAAAATTTTGTTTGGATCGGAATCGATCATCACTGTTAAATCTTCTTAATTTCTTCTTCTCTTCAGTTGATTGATATATGCATCTTTTGTATGTATAGTCTTGGGCCAAATTTGCTCGTCACATTAATATATGTCTATATTAATGAAAAGTACTAATACGCAATCTGACTTACGGTTTCTTCAAGTATATTCTTAGTTTCTGATACATAATAAAACAACAAAGGATATTACAGGATAATGAATGTTCAACAGAAGATGGTAATTACTGGACTCCTGACGGTAGAGTTACATCCTTACATCTTTCCATCGAGAGAGAACCAGAGAGCCAAGAGCGAGACCTCGTGTTCAGTTACTATATAGATATGACCATAATGACATCAGACTATATCTCTAGCCATATAAGGACAAAACCCCCAATTTACATTCCAGAGCTCTCAGACAAAGAAAGCCTCGTGACTTATACCATCTGTTACTTATGTCAATCCACACATCCATATATATTTAATAGAAACATAGAATATGCAATATTCTACATAATACAACTACACTACTGAATCAGTGAAGTATGTGCAAAAAAGTGGGTGTTACTCTGCTTAAAATAACAAGAATAGAAGTGACAAAAATACTGCACAATTTCGGTTTCCAACTATTTACAAATATATGTACACAACCAATGAATCTGAGTATATTTGCCCATTGCCCAACCACATAATAGTGGTCCCATATGTTTATAAAAACACAAATTAGACATGGATCAGCCCCACCCCCTGCAAATTGAGTATTCATAAAGATTAAGTCTCATATTGACGGTGTTGGAATTTCACTGAATTTTCACTATTTTCCTACACCTGACACTTCTTAACATTTGGCTACCACAGTCAAGAGGTGTCAATACCCTGTCACCAGTGAATTGCCTCTGTCTATGGCGCATTATTATTTTATTATTTATATAGTGCCAGCAAATTCCGTAGCGCTGTACAATGGGTTTCCACGGAGTCCTCCATAAACCTTAATGCTCTTGTGCATGACCAGCAAGTAGATGGCAGCAGCACCCGTGAGGTACAGGTTTAGTACTCAACTTTCCCCACCGCGATGTGGCAATGTCACCATCAAAGGTTTCTGCACATTCTGCAGTCCACAGACAGTGACAGTCCTGCTTTAAGGAATAATGTATATTTCTAGTAAGCTCCACGTGAGACATGAAAATTTTTGTGTATTAAGAGAAAAGGAAGGAAAATAGCAGATAACATAAAAAGACTTTATTCCAAAATTTGTGGACCATAACTATAACAACTTTGTTTCCTTTAATTTACTGTTTAAGCTGCAATAGCACATTTATGCCCCAAAATTTAAAATTCCTTTAAGAAAAATACACAAGCCAACAAAAGCTGAGAAAACAGAACATGTCCATTACAATTTTCTTCCCATCTTCAGAAACAAACCATATGTCCAAAGCAAACTAAAGGCAGATAGAACGAACGTTGACCTCTGTCTGGGCTCTGGTTCCTTCTGCGTCCACTTCTGAAAACACAGAATTAATAAAACCACATGCCCAATACAAACTAAAGGCAGATAGGACTAACGTCGTCTTCTGTCTGGGCTCCGGCTCCTTCTGCGTCCACTTCTGAAAACACAAAATTAATTTTAAGAACAAGTTTGGCTGATGTCATCACATGCATGCACACACCTGCCCCCAAAACAAAACATTACTTCCTACATTGCTTAAAGATGCAGACTATTCCCATCATCTCCATGGAAAATAAATCATGGAGGATGTAACGCTGGAACATCTGGACAGCAAAACATTGCCAGTCCCTGGTCTACAGTACATGTCATATTCATACTGGAGCCTCTATCTAAAAAAATTGAAACACTATCCTCCTCAATCTATCTTAGGTAGAATATATTGTGAAGTCTTGCTTTCCATTATTTTATTGATGTGTTTTACCTATCCTGAGTGGCTAAATTGCCAATCAAGTAAACCACAGCCCTACTGCAATCACTGGCTGGACATTAATGCAGATCTGTGGAAAAACACTGGACACTTACCGCCTCTTGCCTTTAGGAGGTCCTCTAACAAAGCCCCAATCCACACTGACAGGTTGCCCCATGAGATCCTGCCCATTTAAACCTTCCATGGCAGCCAGAGCCTCTTTATAGGTTTCATATTCTACCAGTGCGTATCCCTGTAGGAAAGACATTTGTTAATTTCAAAGATATGCTCAAGTGCATAGGATGGTTGGTTTGGGTTAGTCTTGGTTATCTTGAATCTCACCTTAAGGTAGCCAGTCCTTCGGTCCAGATTCAGATGCACATTCTTAATCTCTCCAAACTCTCCAAATTTATCATGAATGTCTTCCTCTGTGGCTTCTTCGTGGACACCAGTCACAAACAGGATCCAGCCTTCTACAGCTGAGGACAGGCAGAGTGGAATTCATAAGTTACACTGACCAAGACAAAGTGACACCAAGCTTTACAAAAAACATAGAAAACAGATTATACAATAAAACATGAGCAAAGATGAACAAAATAATTTAAATGGCACTCACCCTCCTGTCTAAAATGAGGGAATCTTTATAAAAATATTCACATAGATTGTTGAGATTTCTTTGAAATAAGGGCAAAGCTACCTTTTGTCAAGCCCCCAGTTGTCATTAGGCTCTATGGATGATCCTGCAAGATCACCTTAGAGTTTTACTATCGTACATGCATAGAGGCAGTGTTTACATTGCTGCCTAGTAACACCTATAGTGGCGGTCACTAAGACGGCCACTAGAGTTTATTTCTGTGTCAGTGCTGCACTGGAGTTAGCAAGGTGCTGAACATTCTCCATAAAGATGCATTGAATCAATACATCGCTGTGAGATGTCGATTGGCGCAGTGCAGTGTTTTGCTGTGGATGTGCAACAACCTCCCATTGCTTTTCTATGGGAAAGCTTTGGATTGGCTAGGATCATCAAGTTTGATGATCTCAGCCAAGGAGGCAGAGACTGCCGGGTGAGACCAGCGCTGTGCTGGGGGAAACAAATTGAGTAAAAACAGCTTTTCAAAGCAAAGCGAACGGGGTCGAAGATGGAAATAGTGGGTTTAACATTACAGTGTCAGGAATACAGGGTTGTGTCCTGACATTATAGTGTTCCTTAAAAGAAAATATAGGCATGATTTGCAGAGCAAGAACTTGAAGTGATGAGAGCGCAAACTTACATCTTTGTGGGCCAGGTTCATCTCCATCCTGTTCAACACTGTCATAGTCCTCTCTAATTCTGGCCCTTGAACCTTCCTCTGACAGAAAAATACAGAAAAAAGGTAAGTCGTGAGAACAAACACTTTTCTACTATTGCAAAGTCACACGACTGAAAAAAACACACAACCCCCCATAATAAAGTGTTGACTTACCAGCACCAAATCCTCTCCCTTTTCTTTTCTTGGCTTTCTCCTTTAATTTGTGAATACTCTCTGTGGAAATTGAAGGAGATGTGTATGTTAAACAAGACTAACATCAAAACCACCTATAACTTTTTTTTACGTGAGATTTTATTTTATATGCTTATCAAAGATTGTGCAAATGTATTTATTTATAAACTATTTTTACCAGGAAGGATACATTGAGATTTCTCTCGTTTTCAGGTATGTCCTGGTTCCACAAAACATTGCATTGATACAACAGGGTACAATAAAATAAAAAAAATATACGTCACAATTCAACTTAGTTTAGTCATATCCCAGGACAGACAACGCAAACGAGTAGAACAGGAACATTGATACGGTTTGTCTTCTTACATTAACAATGGTCAATGGAAGAGACAGGGAGCCAAGATGGAGGCATCCAGTTCTAGGAATAAAGTAAATACAGCAGGGTTCACTTCTACATTAAAATAGGATGAGGAATACAAACATGTATTTTTGACACTATAGTGTACGACTAACTATTCCCTGGTCCCCCTTGCATTACACAGGAAATCTGATTTTACAGAATTATCTGTTTATATTACAGCAATACACTATTTGGATAAAGGGACTCTCCAGTGTCAGGAAAACAAACCCATTTTCTGGGCACTGCAGAATCCTGCAGTGCCCCCCTCTCTCCCACCCCCATCCCATGTTAAAACCCCTTCAGTGACTTACCTGAATCCAGCGCCGATGTCCGTCGGCACTGGGTCAGGCTCCTCCCCGTCGAAGGGCATTAGACCTCCCCATACGAAAAGCATTATTCAGGCAACGCTGGACGTTCTTATGCATAGCGTGAAGACGTCCAACATCGGTTAAAACACTTTTTGTGTTTTAAGAAGCCGGAAGTCCCTCTAGTGGCTGTTTGATAGACAGCCACTGGAGGAGGACTTAACCCTGCAAGGTAATTATTTCAGTGATGGGAGTTGGCACCCAGACCACTCCAATGGGCAAAAGTGGTGTGGGTGCCTGAAGTGTCCCTTTAAGTAAATTTGCACACAATCTTAACACAGTAATTACTTGGCCATTCCAAAAACCCTGTTAAAAAAAGCTGGCAAAGCAGTGCAAGATTGTGTATCTGAATTTCAAAGGCCTCAACTACCCTAAGAAAAGGCACTTGTTATATAAGGAATTAAACCGACTGAAGGCAGATATCGCATTTCTCCAGGCGTCCCATCTGCCAAGGCCCTCCCATATTGTGTTAAGGTATAAGAAGAATTTTGATAGATCGTACTCTTCCAGATCATTTCGTAAACATAATGGAGTTGAAATTCTCATTCACAAGAGATGCAATTTACAGATTACGGGGTCCAGCTCGGATGACACCTATGTCTGACTGGTATGCTAGGGACCCAAACAATTCATTTAGTAAACATATACGCACCAAACACAGCTGATCACCAATTTGGGGGACCTTGTGAGGCCTCTTAGTGCAGAGTACTTGGTATTGGGAGGGGACTGTAACGCTACTCATGTATAGCAGCTGACAGAAGCGTGGCTCCTGGGACCCGGCGTTCTTATGGGATGAGAGCCAACGACAAACTTTTACGTAGTTTTATTGAAGACTGTAAATTGGTGGATATTTCGAGGGTGCATCACCTTGGCGAGCACAACTACATATTCTATTCGGCCCTTCATGGGACGTATTCTCCCATTGACTTGTTTCTGGTATCCAGAAAGACGATTCCGGTGGTACAGGGGGGGTACATTCGGTCCATCTCGTGGTGGGATCTCATTCTGAGAGGCTTTTTGATTCCAACGAGATGGACATGGCTCCTGAATAATTCATTGTTGAAAGATAGAGCGGTCATGGCGGAACGGACTACTGCCTTAGAGGAGTACTTTCCTCTCAACAACATGCCAGATGTCAATGCTGCCACTGTGTGGTGTCATAAGACAGTCATCAGAGGCCTGCTCATCAAGACAGCAACATACAAAAAACTGCTTAAAACTCAGAAGATCAGAGATCTGCAGGAATCGCTACGAAGCGCGGAAGAACGTAATAAATCTACCCCGGATCCACAGACCTTGAGTGAGATTCGCATGGAACTCAAACGGGCCCTGCTGGATGATGTTGCCCGTGATATGACCTGGCCTCGCCGGTTTTACTTTTAAAACACAAGTAGTATGAATACCTTCCTTGACAGGACACTCAGAACAAGGACTCGCTCGACACCTCTAACTGCCCCGTGAGGGGGACAGTCAGCTCTCCTGGGGACATAGAGACACTTTTTACGAGCTACTACAGCTAGTTATATAATCACCCCCCCGATCTACACAGCTGAGAATACTAGTAGTACCTGGGATATTGCCCATCGCTGGGGTGTATTATATCCCCTCCCCCCCAACGATGGCTAATATCTCAGCCCCATGGGTAATATCTCCCCCGTGAGGGGTAAAATCCCCCCCGTGAGGTGTAAAATCCCCCGTGAGGGGTAAAATCTCCCCCCCCACCCCAGTGATGGATATCTATCCCCTCCAACCCCAGTGATGTATAATGTCCATCACCAATTTTACCATCACCATCCTCGTCCATAGCGAAGTCCTCCCCACCGGCAACGTGAACATCCAGTACGTCCGCCATGGTCTGTGAGCCGCGTTACTAACACACTGCGACAAGCGAGACCGGACTAAAACAGCAAAAGGCAACTTCCGGCGCTGCGGTGACGTATAGCGTAGACTTCCGGCGACCGGAAATGACGTGTGGCTAGAACACAGCGGCCATGTTGTGAAGGTCAATCATCCCAACATTCATAAGGTTCCAGTTAGTAAAATCCCAGAGGGGTCATGATTCCCCCAGCTTTGCTCGGCTGTGAGCTACCTCGTGTTTGTTTCTAAGAAGGTTTAGTTGTTAGAGTATTTTGGGGTGGTGTTTTAAGTGAATTCAACATTTTAGGTCAGATTTTGATGTTTTGACAACTTCTACAGCTATACAATTCAGTTAATTCTGCCTTAATATTGAAATCAAAGTGAATTTGTAACAATTTTTTTATTTGTCAGTTTACTGTTTTCACTAAAATTTGAAATAGTCATTAAATTCATGACAGTTCGCATTTTACTGAATTACTTTGACATAGTTTGCTCCCCCAACATTCATGGGTGTGGAATTTAAAAAAATATATATATACTTTTTCAAGGGGCGGAAGCTAAATCTACTTGTCCACCGTAACAATCTATTTGTCCTGACCCAAAATGTAAAATCAGAAAGTTTGGGGACACTGTTTAGAGCTGGGCGGAGGCAGGATTATTAACCAAACTTGGAATTTTTCCAAATGAAACCTCATTGGGAAACACGAAGGACCAAAAAAATTATTTGTAGTTTTGTTTTGCCTCTCAACTGTCCTTATTTAGGAGGGACCCAAGTTCCTCTGTTCCTCCTTTTTATCCTAATGCCCCTCTTTTCTAAGAGCTCCATATTGTTGGTGTGTCTGAGCTTCACAGCAATAATACTATCAGTAATGTGTCTTTATACTACAATAAATGTGTTAGAACTCAATCTGTGTAAATAAGATACATTGTTCTTGTTCTACATTTAAGTTACATAAATTGTTATTAGTAAGACACCTAACCTTTCTCAGAACATCCCTGGCCACAACTCCGCTCACACCCGTAATATTAAGGTGTCCATTTGAAATAGGGTTCCTCAACTGTCTCCTAGTATGTTGCCTGCATATGCTGCTATGTCTGCACCTCTTTGGATAAGTCTTGTATAATGTTTGGGGTTGCTGAACATGTTGCTATGTCTCAATGCTTGCCCAATGCCAGTCCCACACGCTCCAACCAGAGGCCAGCAGAAACTTCATCGCAAGCCCCATGTGTCTCATTCTCCACCCCAGGCCTTACATGTGACTCATTGCTCTCCCAGGCCCTCCGTGTGTCTCCTTCTCCTTTCCGTGTGTGTAATTCCCCTAACCCCTCGTTCTTCCAGGTGTCTCATTCCACTCCTCTGACTCCTACATGTGTCTCTTCCCCTTTCCCCTCACCTCCAGGGCCGCCATCGAGGCGTGACAACTATGACAGTTGTCATGGGCCTGGTGATCCTGGGGGGCCCAGACTGCTTCTGGAGACTTGGGCCCGGGTCCTACTGTCACATTGTGCACATAGGTGGGCACAAACACTACATCCACGACACACATTCACTATACAAACACACTCTGCATCTATTACATACATCACATCCACTATACACTCACCCCTCATCCAATACACACACTCTCTGCATCCACTATAAACACACTACATCCACTCCACACACCGTATCCACCCCACACATGCTGCATCATTGTGGGTGGACTCCGGATGGGCCCAGAACTTGAGCTGTTTAAAGTGCCCAGAAATATCTGATAGCAGCCTTGCTCACCTCCCATGTAGAAACATATAATGTGATGGCAGATAAGAACCATTCGGCCCATCTAGTCTGCCCTAGTCCACCCTCCACCTCTCTGTTCCTGTACATCCAGTTGTCTGGTTATAATTACATGGCTGTTAGTCAACCCATTGTACAGCGCTATGGAATCTGATGACGCTATATAAATAATAATAAAGGCTATTCTATGCATCCACTACCCTCTCAGTAAAGTAATACTTTTTTAAACCTTTGCCCATCTTATTTAAGACTACATCCTCTTGTTGTGGTAGTTTATCTTCTTTTAAATATAGTTTCCTCCTTTACTGTAGCATGGCCGAGCGCGCCACAGTATTCGGTCTGACAGGAAGTGGTTATTGCTCTCAGAGTGCACTCTCTGTCAGACCGTGGTCCGCTCGGCCACGCTACATTCAGTGACTGGCAGGACGGGGAGCACTGTGCACCAGCCCTGGAGTTATGCAGACACACCAGTAAATTTCATGGCAACCCCTGCGACAATGGTAGTTTTGCTACTGCCCTGAACCCCCCGGGCCCACTGCATTCACCGCTTCCATTAAGTTATGAGGAACATGTGAGGGGCTCCCCAGTCCCCTCTTCTACTCAAAACACATACTCTTTCACCCACCAATGCAGAGCAGTGCCACTGGCCTGTTCATCAATAAGATTCATGTGGGATGTCAGTCACTACTGCCTTCTTTCCCCCTACTGCTCTGTCCTTTGGACCGGCGGGGGTCATCCCAGTGCCCACTGGAGTACTGACCTGACGAGGTGGCAGAGAACAGGGATAGGCTCCACAACCTGCACAGCCTTTCATCAATGGCGAGCATTCAAACATGGCCGCCGGCACGACCCATGCCCTACTCGAGGAGCACATACAGCAGGGCTTTGAGCGACTTTGGTTGCAATTGTGGACTAGAATCAGCAGGAGATTGGAGAAATGTGCAGTGGAGGAAAGCACCCCACCGACAGTGAATGGAGCAACCCTCAGATCAGATCCTGCATATCCTGGCCTTACAGGGAAACTGAGAAAAAAGAAGCAAAGAATAACTCAATCCTGGAAGCTCAGATCTGTGGGCAGTTGTTACTTACCTAGGCCTTAGTCCAACCATGATCAAATCCCATGCACACCTCACATTCTCGGGAGGCAAATACTCAGCATGGATGGAAGCAATCTGGTGGCAGATCCCGAGACCACGTTTGGGTCGCAAGACGCGATCAGACCTGTGGGCAAAGTGCAGTGGACTGTACTAGAGCCTGGGGCTGGACATGTGACACTCTGCCGGGCTTATTGCACTATTTGATGGGCATAGGATAGAATGTGCACCTTCTCTATAGGACCCAGAGTCCATCATCATACAGGGCAGATGATTATTGGTTCGGTCTTTTATATGCTCTCTGCGAACTTTACATTTCAGCTGGTACCAGTGGAATTACCTCTCTTGTTTAACCGTAATATGTGTTGAACATAAGCAGTACACCTCTCTTCTGTTTAATCGCAATTCAATTTGGATAGCACAGTGAGCTTGATACACAGGGGGCATGTTTATAGTATGTGCTCTTCTCCATGAATGCTGCATGATTCCGTTATTTAAGGAAAGGTTACCATTTGTACTGCTGTCTGTTTTTCTGGAAAAAAAAAAGATGTCATCCACTCTCAGAATATTATGTGACACACTGTGTATTAACCTTGTTTGCGATGCAGATATATTCTGAATCACTGTTACTTATTTTGTGTTTATTGCTAATATCTAAATAAAATTAAGATTGACCAAAAAAAAGAGGGGAAAAAGAAATACTAAAAAAAATCTAATACCATAAGTATAAGAGGGATTATAAAGGTAAATTGGGGAATTTTAACATCAACATATTAAAACATATTGTAATAATTATAGACAAAGATTAGAATAAAATAAAAACTCACCCAAAAAGTTTTGAGAAAAAAGTTTTGGGATCTAATTTATTTAATACTGAGTCTAATGGACTTAGTTCTCAGAAGTACAGGGGGAGAAATTTAACCCTCCCTCCCCCCTGCAGAGAGAGGAATATATAGCGGGACTTTTTTTTAGACAGAAGACCTGGCAATGTAGATTTTCAATTAACGAGAACGAGGAATTTACGTTTTGGGGATGCAGAGCAGGGAAACTGAATATCATCTTATGTCTTGAAGAGAATTAAATTAAAGTATTAAATAGGGGCCTAACGTTTGCACCATTTTAAGGTTTTAATTAGTTTTCAGCTTATATAAATATAGTAGATTATTGCAGAAATTTGTCTTACCCAGCAAAGCCACCTGAGATAGGGACTGAAGTTTTTAAACACAAATGTCACTTTTTTTATCCTAGACATTTTAAACAGAGAAGTATAGATATTTTTGAAAAAACAATTTTAAATGGTTTTACTAAATTGAAAAAAAATATATATATTTAAATTTGACTCAGGAGTCAAAAAAAGGAGAATATAACTTTAGAAGACTTAAAGGATTCTAAAGGAAAGTGTTCCTTAGCCCCTGTTCCCTCCCCCCCCCCCCATACCCCTGCAAAAGAAAGAGTTAACCCTTTTTTCACTTACCCGATTCAAGCGCCAGGTAACAGTCTTGCTCCTTCAACCTCATCCAATGGGGGGACCTAATGCACATGTTAGGCCTTCCCGATAGGAGAGCAAATTCGGTGAAACTACAGGAAGCACCTCGAGTGGCTGTTTGGTATATGCAAGCTCCTTAAAGGAACACTATGGTGAAACTACAGCTTTATGTAATGTGTATAGCCTGTCACTGCATGCTTTTTAATGTAAGCACCATAGGCGTGCGCAGCCTATTACATTAGGGTGTGCACCCTAAAGCACAAACATACGTCGCGTACAAAAACATATATTTATATATATATACATACACACTTATATTTACAAATATACATGGGGTGCAGTGTGCATGATTGTGAGGGGTGCAGTGTGTATGATTGTGAGGGGTTCAGTGTGTGTGGGGTACATTGTGTGTGATTGTGAGGGGTGCAGCGTGTGAGGGGGCAGTGTGTGTGATTGCCAGGGATACAGTGTGTGTGTGATTGTGAGGGGTGCAGTGTGTGTGATTGTGAGGGGGGCAGCGTGTGAGGGGGCAGTGTGTGTAATTGTGAGGGGTGCAGTGTGTATGATTGTGAGGGGGGCAGTGTGTATGATTGTGAGGGGTTCAGTGTGTGTGGGGTACATTGTGTGTGATTGTGAGGGGTGGGTTTTAGTATGAGAGAAGCTTTGCAGGCTAGGATAGGGGTCTGAGTGGGGAGCAGCCTTTTAATTTTAATTATACTTATTTGAATATTCT